ATTTTACTTTTGAAAGTATGTAAACTTTATAAGATTTCTTTTACCAAATCACAGAAACAAGTTAAAAAAAAAACTATCTCAAGACGCATCTCGAAAGGAGAAACCTCTGTGTAGGAATTTTGATTCATTTGCTGTTTCTTTTTTCTGAAACATAGAAGAGCAGTGAGCAAATAGCAAGTGAGCAAGCAAGGAGCGCATTTGTTTCCCAAATACTCCCTCCGTCCGGAAATACTTGTGTCATCAAAATGAATAAAAGGGGATGTATATGTATCTAGACGTATATTAGTTCTACATACATCCTTTTTTATCCATTTTGATAGCAAGTATTTTCGGACGGAGGGAGTACCACGTCAATTCAGACCAAAAAACTGCACTACGAGTATGGGCTCATTTACCAGCTACTGTCTGAAAATGACCAATCAAGTCAGTACTCGTACGTAGTACTGGGGCTGCTGTCCATAGAACTCCTTACTTACGAAACCAGCAATTACGGGACACATGCAAGCACGGAAATAAGCAGGAAAGCGGAACAAGGATCGCAGACGATTGTAAAACTCAGTTGTGTTTACTGAATCCGGTGGAAGTTCTCAGCGGCATCGATTTATAAAATAGACAGTCCAAGCAGGTTCAGGTGTCCCCATGACCAACGACGCAATTTGGTGCAAGTTCTCGGCGTACGCGTAAAAAATGTTGATACCACCAGGAATTGACATGAACTGATTACAGAACATTGCATCTAAGAGTTGATACCACCAAGGATTGAGTTCTCTTCTCCAGCCCAAGTAAACTGATCTACATGCAAAGCTGGTGCCTGATGACACTAGATGTCCTGACAGATGAAAGCTCAAATGCAGAGACAATCTCTTCGCCTCGTTCAAATTCAAACTGGTAAAACGCTCAAACCTAGTCGCTCCGGCACGGAAAAACAATAGCAGTCAAGTATACAAGCATGGCTAAAAACTGAACGATCAAACTGATCACATAAGCTCGGGCTCGGGTACTCCTAACTGGTCCTAAGCTCATAACACAATAAATATCTGCTGCCAGGCTTATAAAAACTGAAGGAATAGCTGCAAAAAGTTCCTGCACTCATGCTGATGAGCATCTCATACCAAGCTGCAAAAAGTTCCTGCACTCATGCTGATGAGCATCTCATAAATATCTGCTCCCTGTTGAGATGGGGAGAATTTTCACAAGAAGCTGGTAGAGCAGCAAGCTGTAGTTGTGCATGACAACGATCACTGGCGGCCATCAGAATAGATCATGCTGGGGTACACCCAGAGGCTCTGAGGATACCGCCACCGATTTCTTGCGAACACTAAGTTGGGACGGGTGGGTCGACCCTTCACAGGATCTGGCTCATGACCCAACGAGTGTACGCCCCAAAGCTGAGAGTCATCAGTGTAATACAAGCAGTTGCTTCTCCCTCCCCATCGTTCTGGGTTAATGCAAGAAAATGGTGGGTTCCTAACGTCAGCTGCAACGAAGAGTGCCCAGTTGTCCAGCTTCTTCATCCCCACCCATTTTGCGGGATTGGTTGACATGTCGAGGCGGTGGAGTGTGGAGTAGCCCGATCCGTGTAATCCGAATCTGACAGAATAGCAAACCATCAGAAGCATATCACCGCAGACCACTAGCCATGGTTTTGAGCGCGCGCTTGGGGTCTTGCCGCCGCACCGCTCTGCTGGCAGGTCCCGCAGGGCAAGCTGGGGCGCCAACTGCAAAGTGTAGAGCTTCATATGATTATCCATGGCGATGAACTGACCGTTTAATTCCACAATCTGCTCTATTCGTAGATTAGAAAAGCTTTAGTTCAGACCAAGAGTCACTTCCAACTCGCCAATTGAACAAGGAGGATAAGGATTGAGTGACAGTGTTGACAAGGAGCCGTGAGTTAGGTGATGCAAGGGGAGCAGTCAGAATGCTACAATAGTACGACTCAAACACGTCGCGGCACAACTCAGGGAGACGTGGAGGTGAAACTTCTGCACCACTGAATGCATCAACAAGAAGACAATGTCCGTGGTGGATGAAGATGAGATGACCATAGGAAGAACCAGCAAAACGAAATTTCTGCGGAATTTTTTCCCGGATCTGGTACCGATGGTTGCTGTTCGGGTTGGCTGGATCAATGAAGTGAAATGTACGTGGATTGTGGCGACCATTGCTAGGAGCTCGGATGTAGGGGGGTTTTCGGATAAGGAGAGGGGGACATAAGTTGCGCAAGGAAGATTTGGATGGGTATGAGAAGAAGGCAGCATGCCAAGAGCGGCAAGTGCCAGCAAAGGCAAGAAGGTCAAAGAAGGAGCCCAGCATAGCAACAATTGAGTGCAGCAGGCCATCTGGGAGGTCTGCCCAACCTTGGGGGGTGGACACAGCAAGGTGTTTGTAGATAGAGGTGGCAAACAGTTTGCTGGGGCTTTGCATGATGACAAACTCTCTGCAAAACATAGTAAAATTCAAGGCCATAAGATTAGAGAGATGAATTGGTCAAGAAATGCAAAAAAAAAAGAAAAATGGATAGATGGTTTGCTAGTCAGATAATCTTCCATTTGTAATCTATAACCATAGAGTACCCACAAATGTCCTTGCATATTAATAAACTTGCTCTGCACTTGTACAGATATATAATTTCATTGAGAGATTGTTCAGACAACAGCGTGAAGCAAAATAAGAACAAAAACACCAAACAAAGCAGCAAGGACCATGGCATCACAAATTCACATTTCTTACTCACTGAGGCAAAGATCCTCGAAAGCAATTCATACTCATTGGTGGATTTTTCATTTCCATCCATTCAGGCAATACATAACAAGCAGAAAAGAAATGCGGGGTACTTATTTCGCCAAGTGCTTATCTTCAGAAACCATGTAGATTTTAAGTATGAGATGAGAAAGGTGGTAAATGCTTCTGCTGTGTTGCCTAGTGTCATACACAAATCATAAGGAGCAGGTGCAGTTCTGGCTCCATTGACAACAATACCTCAACCCAGTGGTAATGGCGAGAAACCTAAAATTATTTACTCCCTCCGATCAAAAAAAAAGTGTCTTGGCTTTGCTTTAGTTCAAGTCACGACACTTTATTTGGATCTGAGGGAGTAATTCCATCAACCATTTGCACATCGTCTCGATCATCCAAATCAAAGCCGAGTCATTGGTATATCCATCCCACATAGATCAATCCCATCTAAGAAATCAGACAAACAACTGCACCTAACCTCGGGGTTTTAATCTTCCGTACACCAGAATCTAACGAAATCTGGTGCAAGATATCTAGCCAAACATAACCCTACCAGGTTCCAATGCGACTGGAGTTCTTCGGATAAGAAGAACTGCACGAAGTGTTCCTTCAGATCTTAATTTAGCGGGACAAACGCACCAAAGATGGCATGCGAGAGGAGGACGAAAGAGCGCGTGCCTCGTGGAGCAGGGAGTCGGTGGAGATCAGAGACGACCGTGCGTTGGTTGGCTGCCGCCGCCACGCCGGCGTCGTCCCGTCCGGGTGGCTGCCGGAACCGCCCCGATGGCTTCACCAGGTAGAAGGCGCTCGTATGCCACCGGCGATTCCGTCCTCTCGTAACCTCGGCCCAGTGGCCATATCTGGGTTATCATGGGCCGATTATGAATAAAGAGGGAATAGGGGCTATTCATGGGCCATATCCGGGCTTTCATGGGGGTCCTTTTATGAGCCGTATTTTCATCGACTAAAAAAATGACCAAATATTTTCAAAATAAGATTTTTTTTTGCAGACTAATTGGAGATCTTTATTCAACGAAAAGCATTCTTGGATGAGTCAACCAATAAGCTGGTCAGCAAGAAGCTTGGGGTTTCATCCATCCAGCTATCTGTTACATCTAGTGCACAAGCACACTTCGCACAAAGATGCGCAGGAAGATTAGTTGATCTACTTACATGGCAAATATCGGAAGATGTAAAGTAAGTACTAAGCTCTTCTATCTCATCTAATAAGTAGGCCATAATAGATCGAGAATTGTGGTGAGAATTCAATAGTGTCACCAACTCCAAGCATTCTACTTCCATTATTACATGGGAGAAACCTCGGAGAGTAGCAAAATGAACACCATCACGTAGGGAGAGACCCTCCATGATCAGGGGATCTGTGATCCCGGAGTATGGCTTGCACCACGCACCAAGCAGGGCCGAGGGAGACCGAGCGACTCCACCCACCCCTCCCCGGTCGTCCGGTAGATTGAGCCCACCGTCAGTGTTGATCTTGACATAGCCTTCGTCAGGCGGACGCCAGCCGAATCCAGGCAGAACTTGTGCATCTTTGCGAGGAAGATGAAGGAGGGCAATGGCCTCCTTGGTAGCCCGCATGGTAGACACCGGGTCTCTACCCTCTTCTCCATGCTTGATGCGGTTTCTGGAATGCCAAATAGACCACATGATAGTTGTAATCTTTGCTTGGTCATCAGAAGAGAAACATGGGGCACACATAATGTCACGTGCCCATGATTCGGAATGAAGGTTGGGCAGCCGCAGTCCAAAACCACGCACAGGCCTCTTCCCAGAAGTTTTGGGCGTGCGGGCAATGTAATAATGCATGCTTCAGGTCCTCGTCTGTCGAGAGACAGACTTTGCATTGACGAGCATATGCAATGTGTCGATGATTGAGTGTTGCTTCATCAGGCAGAATCCCTTGAAGCACTCTCCACCAAAACACTCTGACTTTCGGGATAACATTCAACTTCCACAAGGCTTTCCATAATTATTGATCATTCAATGAGGTTCCGGTAACCGTCCCTTCCTCTAGAGCCAAGCACTCGTTCTGAGTCACAAGAGATCGGTACGCTGTTTTGACAGTGTAGTTATCTGATTTTTCGAATGCCCAAGCAAGAAAATCATTGCCATCGCCCGACCGTATAGGGATGTTAAGAATGGCCGCAACATCAGAAGCAACGAAATTTTCTCTGATCAAATCCTGCCTCCACGCCTAGTTTTGAGAGTCAATGAGCTCCGACACTAGATGAAGATCAGTGTTCGGCGGTCGTGAAACAGGTGTCATACTAATCGTTCCTGGAATCCATTTATCAGTCCAGATCGAGAAAGAACTGCCATCTCCAAAATGGGTGATCATCCCCGTTCTTAGCACTTCCCTCCCCGCAATAATCGCCTTCCAGGTGGCAGAAGCCGACTTGGGTGCAGAGGTCTGCATAAACTCAGTATCGGGGAAATACCTTCCTTTCAATACTCTTGCGCATAGGGAAATCGGGTTAGTCAAAAACCGCCATCCGTGCTTACCGAGCATTGCAAGGTTAAATAAGTGAGGATCACGAAATCCCATGCCCCCTTGCACTTGGGTGTTGCCAGATCCTTCCATAACACCCAATGCAATGACTTCTTATCAAGAGAACTGCCCAAAAATATTTGGCCATGGGTGAAGTCAGACTCTTGCAAACTTTCTTAGTAAGCAGAAAGGTACTCATAGGATAGGTGGGAATTGCTTGGGCTATCGATTTCAACAGAAATAAGTAAGGTGATACCGGGTCACCTTGACGAAAACTCCTCGTTGGCGTGAAGTAAGGCAGTAGCTCTCCATTGACACGGACTGAAAATCGTACAGAGAAGACACACTTCATGATTAATCTAGTGAAACTCATACTGAAGCCGAGCCGCAACAATATTGCTCCAACATAGTGCCACTCGACGCGATCATAAGCTTTCATCATATCAAGCTTAACCGCACATGAATAATTCTGTCCCTTCTTCCTCCGTTTCATCGTGTGGATACTCTCGTACACAACCAACATGTTATCTGTAATGAGGCGTCCCGGGACGAAAGCACTTTGTTCCTCGCTGATGATTGAATCCATCAAGCTCCTCAACCGGTTAGTAATAGCCTTGGCTGCAATCTTGTACAAGACAGGGCAACAAAGTAATAGGGCGATACTGTGAGATCGACTGCGGGTGGCGTACCATAGGAATTAGAGTGATAGAAGTATCGTTCAGAACCGCTGGTAGCTCCCCTCCATTGAGAAAATCCAACACTGCTAGTATAATAGCAAGTCCCAGTGTCGCTGATAAAAGCCTCCGCTAAAATCATCTACGCCCGGAGCTTTTGAAGGCGCCATTTGGAATAGTGCCACCTTCATTTCTTCAGCCTTGTAGGGTTTACCAAGACATCATTCATGGCCTTGGTTACTTTAACAGGCACATGCGATAATAGATCGCTCGTGTCCGCAAAAACCCTGTGTTTGGTACAGGTTTTGAGCTGAACCAAATGGAAGACCCATTAGATTTCGCCTCCCTATACATACACTTCTTCATGGAAATACTACTAATTAACGGAAGGCTAAAATTCCCATGTCAAATTAGTAGACATGGAAAATCAATCATTTCTAATGATAATTTATATTGGCGCGAGGATGACAAATTTGGTTTACAAGTACGGCAATTTTATGGCCTAAAAAAAAAGGAAGACAAAATTTTCATGCTCGTCAACTAAACTTATCATCCTCGGCAAATGCAACGTGCCATTAAAAATGTTTGATTTGCCATGTTTAAGAATGTGACATTCGCGATATCTGGGTCTTTAATTAAAGCTTTCTATCCATTGTATTTCCAGAAAATCGGGAAAACTACGATGACCAAATCACAGGACCAAACACGAGTGGAAATAAACTACTCGCTACCCCACCAAGGGGGCATTTCCTTTAAAAAAAACTACTCACTATGGAGTATATCATGCGGAATGGCGAAAATTCTTTGCAGGAATTTCAGAGGACCTGTA